AGGATTAGCGGCAGCGTTACTCCATTTATTCCGTGCTTCCCGCTGGTTGGGTATGAGCCACTAAAAAAAACCCCAAAACATGCAGCTTCATAAATGTGTATTTATTTTGGGAGAACGACAACGTTATCCAGACCCTGGGCTGTGCCTGCTGGTTGTCACCACCACAGCTGGGCTTCAGAGGCCTTTCGAAGGCGCTCCCTCATCCAGAGGGCAAAACAGGGGCATGTGGAAAGCACGTGTATGGCAGAGGTCTCCCCAGCATAGGCCCCGTCTGGGCTCCTGGCCAGCTGCACCAACGTCGGTGGAGGTTTAACTCAGTTTACAGCTCTACTAGATCCCTCAGAGACATAAAGATCCCCCCTGTGTGGTGGGCTGCCCACAGCTCTTCGCTGGCCTTCCTTTTATGAGGTTGGCAGCACGTCGTGGTTGGTTGGTTAAGTTCTCTGGGATGGCCTGTACTGCCTGCGTGTGCCAGCTATCATACCCGTCATCTCCCTCATTTTTTCTCGGAGGCCCTCTTACTGGTTTTGCACTGGTTTGTTTCTGTAAGACTGTAAGGTATGAATTTAAGGAAGTGGTAGAATTCAGCAAATTGAATTCAAGAAGGGTAAAATTCTGCTGACACCACTTGTGACCGCTGAACATCCATGCAGTGTGGTGTGCCTGTCCCACCCCAGGCACCAGCGTGATTCCTGCATCAGCTCTGGAGGGGACCAGGACAAGGTCTTTTGGTATTAGATGAGCTGAGAAGGTCTGTGGGAAGTAGATAGCAAGATAATCCAGGCCAGTTTCATGCTGGATTAACTGCATTTGTTTACCCGTTGGTTAATGTCTAGAGGTGCCATTTAATGCATTTTTGTCTTCAGATTTTATGAAGTGTGTCATTAGCATGCTTTGCTTCATAGAAAACAAGTGTTTTTATTTGCATGGCCTGTTGCATTTTCTTAGGGAAATGCAGGAGGAGAGTAAATAACCTAACTTAAGTCAATACTTATGTATTGACATTTACCATGTCCCTTCATGATTGGAATCATTCTTTAGGAAGCCAAAAACTTAAAAGATTAGGTTGTGACAATGTAAACTACTACAGTGACTCTCTGTTACAAAGACATTGGTTGCAAATAAAAATTACTAGAGAACTGGTTTTGTAACAACAAAAACTTCATAAATACCATTTGCATGACACTTTGTTAAAGATACTTACAATACAGTATGGGTGAGGTCAGCACCCAAAGTTAATTTTGAAATTCTAGACTAAATGACTGTCTTATCTTTGATATCTGTACTGCGCTAGAACTTCACTAGGTCTCCTGACTATCACTACAATCCAAAGTATAAGCTTTCTGGTTTTTTCCTTTTGTCTTCGTACTGCATTTGGAGCTTCCAGAAGAATGCATTCTACAATAGCGGGGACAGCACATACGAGAAATGGAAGCTGTGCCACTAGTGAATTGTGGTGAACAAAGGATGACAAGACAAATCATAATAAAAGCATGAAAGGGGATAAAGATCTTATTCTTGTGCAGAATCCTTTTGTATCTTGGCTAGGTGGAGTGGAATGGTGTCTCTAGTTTTTGTTTTACACATCCAATAAATATATACTTCTTCATTCTTGTACACATTACGTCTGGAAAGCTGGGACATAGTGCTTGGGTTCTTTTGTCAGTGATGTGAGCAACTGCAATTTTTGTAGTCTTTTTTTAGCATCCTGCTGCCGGTGGTCTGGCATCACACAATAAGCAACAGCAGTAATAAATAAATGCAAAGTTCAGTAGTATTAATACAGACAGTGTGATGTAAAACTTAACCTTCCTCTCTTTTTTTCTTATGGTAGGGAAGCGGTATCTGCTAACAGAAGATGACATAAAGTTACAAGAATTTCAGCAGATGAAAGTGGCAATTAGAAATGAAGTTCATGGCAATAAAGGTATTGGTGTTTATTTCATAATCACCATTCTCAATTTTAGCATGAGTCTTAGGAAACAAGGCAAAGTTATTATATATAATATGACACCAACTGACCCCATTTAAACCAACAACTTATGTGTTCTTCTTGCAAATCTTTTGTAGCAAAAATTATTGGAAGATGGAGGCTTTGTAGAATGAAACTATTATTTATGCTGTGTTGGGAAATGTGGAGAAGCTTTCAAGTATGCAAGGTGTTTACATAAGACCTAAATTGTTTGTGTCCTTGCTTTTCCCTTCATCAGATAGTCTAATAGAAAATACTGTTTCAGTCTACAAATCTTGCTTCAAATATATCAGCAGCAGAAAGCCTAATAACTACTTCACTATCCAGAGGAGGCCTATGCCAGCAATTCTCTTTTAATCTGCTCCGTAAATTAAGTTAGCTTATTCTTTTAGATCTTTTTCCTTTTACTTAATGTAAGTTCTCAGTTTTACACTCAATTCCAGATGATGTATACCTACTCAGAATAGGAAAAACAAGTTCAGGTTTTCCAAACTAACGAAGGAGCAGGATTGGTGGATTTTCTCTGATGAGATTTTGTCATGCTGTTTGAAGTGTATCCAAATTCCCTTCTTTAAGGAACATAAATATAAACATAAATTTGCCCTTAATATTTAATAAAGGTTAGGTAAAACTCCATTTCCTACACCAGTTTCATCATGTGCAGATGTTCTAGTGATACAAATTGACGGTTGTTCCAAAGGATGCAGTTGATTTTGATTTTTTTTGTGTGGCAAGGAAGTGACAAATAATAAAATTTAGTTTTATATAAACCTGTCTTCTGGGACAGAGAGGGAGGTAAACTCAACATGTCAGGTTTTCTATATTAAGTAAAATTAGAATTTAAATTGGGCAGTGGCAAGTCATAATGTTGTTATATTTTGCTGTCGTACTTATATTGGGGATTATTCATCCTGTACTTGAGATACATTGAATTAATTGCTATGGGTCAGTCACCCTTGCTCAAACAGGTTTGTAAAAGCCAAATATTTGACTTTACAGGTCACAGTTGACCTTTATGTTTTGTACAAATAGTAGCCTCTAAGAACTGATGAAAACAATGTGCGAAGCACCTATTTGTGTGTATGTGTGCATAGTTTCTGTACTTAGTGTCTAGTCTATTACTTGTAAGATGAAAAGAAGTACTTAGAGCTAGTAATAAACTTGGTTTAGAAATGGAAAAAGCAGTAATAACTGTTACACAGAATATATAATAGCTATTATTCATTATACTTACAATGCAACTGTTAACTATAATAGTTATACTATTAACTACAGCAGTTAAACAATTACCTACAGTAATTATAATAACTATTATGTGTTCTTTAAAAATACACTTCAGATCACAGGTGTTTTTTAAATTTCTTCACACCTTTGAACACATCACAACCATTATATATGCATACTTATATATGTATTATTCTGACTTCATAGGGTTCAGCTCTGCATCTCAGTCTTGAGTAAGGACTTGTACTTGCATGTAGCAACAGATATGCATCCAGTAGCTGGATAAGTTGTTCTCGCTTTGCACCTCTTGTGTAGGTTACTAGCTTGGAAATAGCAGGGACACAGCAACTGCTACAAAAAAGTTCACTTCTCTGCCCAAGATGTGGGGCAGCACTGTTAGAGGAATGGGGTACATGTGATTTTAATGTTGTCTATCTCTAAATACCAAAGGGCTATCTGTGGTGTTTTCAAGGAAATGGCCTATTTTCACAAATATATATCCACAGCAGCAAATACACAGAGACTTGATCAAGTCCTTTATCAGCTGTGCTGTTTGCTTATCATTATAACCCAAAACAGGCAAAGGAAAACAATTCTTTACCAGAATTGTTTCTTGCACAAACTCAGACACTCAACCTTCGTTGCCTACCTATGGGCAATCCTCAGCAGTCCTCACCAACGGCCCCAGCCATCATGCCAAATTACTAAATATTCCACAGAGTGTTTTTAGGATGCTTGCATGGCTCTGTCAAACCACCTTCCCTCTTGACACAACATCTAGAAATTGTTTTGCACTAACACTGGGATTAACAGGGGGCAAGCAGCTCATCCTCCATCGACTGGGGTGAGAGCAAGTGGCTCCAGGCTCAGGCAGCTCATCTGTCCATCTGTCCCCATCTTTCCAACCTCACTCACAGCATGCCCAGAGAGCAATACCTGCTGCTTCGTAACAGATGCTCAAAAGCTGACATTTTCAGAAATATATTTTTGAAAGGCTAGGAGAAGAAACCTGTCAGGCAAAGGGACACAGGACTACCTGCACAGCCATACTGAGGGGAAGAAAAAAAACACGAAAGGAACTAAAAAAAAAGGAAAAAAGAGGGAAGTCCCAAAGAAAACTCCAGCAGAGCCAGCAATCAGGATCATTGGAAGATCTAGTGCAAAAACCTAGACTGAGGGATGAGTGCTGCTCCCCAGATGAGAGGAGCCTCACAGAGCAGCAACAGCAGCAGAGTGAGGACCTGAACAGGTTCATCTTGGCAGCTGATGTTGTGGGAAAGTGCCGCTTTGGGACAGACACGTTGGCACCAGAAGAATGTCAGCAGAAAAATTGGGGATTAGGGGAGAAATCTCATCCATCTCACCCAACTATCTTTGGAACGTGCACAGAGTGCCTGTTTAGGAACATCTTATCTTTGAAATTATTTGGAGATCGAACTTCACCCCTGCTGTGAGCTCAAGTCACCCATACCAAAAACATGACCTTAAACTGAGAAACCTGACCTTACAGGGGCTCAGACAGAGCCTCTAAAGGTCTCTTCGAACCTAAACTATTCTATGATTCTGTGAATCAGAGCTTTGAGTTCACCAGCTGAGGGACTCATCTTTGTGCTTGCTTTGTCATAGGAAAATGTGCTGTCTGGAGAAACCTTTTTTTTTTCAGGAGGAAGGAAAGCAACTTCTAAGTTTATGGCTACATGTAGAAATACATAGGTTGTGTATGAGACTCTATGTTTGCATCCATTGTGAAGGAATTTCAATCTTCTGTACAGTGTTGAGTAGAAGTTCTTAGACTCATTTGAATGCTAAGTTGGATTGGTTTTGTTTGTTTGCTTGCTTTTTAAAAAAAGAACATAAGGTAGAAAATGTCACTTACAAAACTTCCTTCCTCTTTAAAGTTTCTCTATTACCTGATATATTACCATAACATACACAGTGAAATTAAGTTCACAATAAGCATCTTCTTGATTTTCCAAGTCTGACATGACTTCATGGGGATACCTAGCCATGCTTGTCTGCGAGAAGCTTTATGCATTTTTCTTGGTGAACAAAACAAGCTTTCTGCTTCATTAAATCTCCATGTTTCAGGTACTAAGTATGCAACACAGGAATGGAATTGTCTTCAGACTGCTGCTATAATGTTTTTTATTTTCAGATCCGTATTTTGAAAGTATTAAAGAAAAATTAAAAAAAAATGGAGTGATTCTCAAAAATGAATTAAAAAGTTTACTGCATTTGTGTCAGAATTCATCTGATGTGGAACTAGCCAGAAAAGTTATTTACAGGTATTTTTAACAATCCAGGTAACACTCTTTTTTGTCTTTATTTTTTTGCTTTTATTAGATGATCTCAGGTTGCATCTGCAGTTGAGGGATTGCCTTAATTCAGTGGCTATATGCATAGTTAATCCCTTAAGGCTATATTTTCATTTACTTTGGATCTTCCAACCCTTCAGACACTCTCAGATCAAAGGAGAGTCAAGCTACAGGAGCAAAGTGGTGTCCTACTGTATGCAGAATGAATGGTGAGCCACAGAGAAATGTCGTCTCTCAGCTGAGAGGTAGTGGTGTGTTCAGTGGCATTTTCCAGCCAAGACACGCCTGGTTATAAACTGCTCTGCACCCAGCAGTAGCAAGTCAGGAGGTTTTGTGAATGAAAGCCTTCCCAGCAAAGACTCCCAGTGTAGGAGCTCTAAAGAAAAAAGTGAAACACTTTATTTTTATCTTTTTATTTATTTTTTAGTGTAGGAGAGAAAAAGTTGAGGTATTTTAGTAGGCACTGCTGCTAAAATAGACTGCTGCAACTTCCTGTGCTATTGCTCTGTGAATAGAAGGTAAAGTAGCTGGGATTTTTTGTGGCAGAGACCCATTCTATTACTAATCCAATGTATGTTACTTTATGAGAAATAGAAAACATTACATGCTACTAATTAATTCATTAGTTTGACCAAAACAATATTTTTTCCGTAAAATTAATCTCCTGTTACCGAAATGTCATTGGCTAGTGCAGATAGAGAAGTGTGCTTCTGTCATTGCACATACAGATCTTCCTGTCTGTTTGAAGATGTTTTCCCTTGACAAATTCCCTGCCCCGTGTGATTTACTTATTTTAATCTTTCCAATAGGTACCATGAACAGAATGGAATCACAGCCTTACATAATTTTAAATTTGGGCCCCTCTTTATGAGGCTATGTTATGAGCTGGACCTTGAAAGACCTGCAGTAGAACTTATCAAAGATCAGGTAATTGCCCTATATATTTTGAAAATATTGTTGTTGTTATTATTATTAGTCCAATATGCATAATTGGTATACTACACAGGAGCCTTACATGAGCTCATAGACTTGAAGTATACGTGTTGCAGGATGTTTATGACATTAATGTAAGGATGCAGATTACATGGGTTTTATTTTTAAAATAGCAAAACAGTAATGAAAAGAAAATCAAATGCTAATTTGACGGCTTTATTATTGTACTTCTATATAATTGCATTATTTGAATAAAAAATATTGGTTAAAAGATAATTCCTCAAATGAACACAGCTGATGCATGTTTTCCTGCATTCTGTGTTGCATTACGTCATTCTTGGAAGTGAACACTTCTGAGTTTTTATGTAATAGTCCTCTGAAATCCCTTGTGTTATTTGTGCCAACAGATTTATCATGTTACTCTGTACTTCAAACTCCCTGTGTACCCTGTAGAGGTGGTATGATATTCATCAGCTCAGGAACTTGGCCCTTTTAGTGCTGAAGGAACTTAAGGACTTGTTTTTGAACATCTGTAAAATGCTATGTGTGCTCTTATGGCAAGATAGTAGTCATGCACAGCGTATAATAAATTGAAAAGATTCAGTGCTATAATGTGTCTTCAGAAATCTCTGGCAGCCAATGGAAAGCCATCTCTATGATGTGAATTCATTAAGGCATGAGATATGTCTAGCCAGAAATGTGAGAAGTCTTGCTGGGGCTACTATTCTTAAATTAGGCATGTGTAAGAGTGTGTGTGGTTTTTGTTTTGTTTTGGGTTTTTATGATTGAGATCTACTTCTTTAAGACAGGTCCTGCAGTACTTGCAGGACTTAGTAACTGATGGATAGTAAGGTACAGTACCACTTCTTCAGACTCTGCCGCAGAAATTCAGACTTAATATCTCTGGCATTTTATTTGGCTACTCCCAACAGACAGTGTGATTGAAGTGTGTTCTGGTTTCAGGACTCTCTTCTGTACTCTGCTTGTCATCACTCAAGCCTGTGTGACAAGCTGTTCATCATTTGATACTGTGATTAACAAAAAAATTCTTTCAGTTTCATGGTGGTGGTACTTCAGCCCAAAGATATTGTTAATCAGCTGCATGCTATATTTCTGCTGGTATTTTTGGAGTTGCCATTAGTCAGTGACTTCTGTTTGCATTAACTTACAGGTCACAATCTGTCATGAAAAAAAAATGATAGTGGGAATCTCTGGAAAATTTCTGTTTAATTTTAGTGAGTTTTTGACCATACTGAGTCGCAAGTATTTTAGAGGTTGCTTGACAGAGGGACAGTCAGGGAGCACAGAGAGTTAAATGTTGAACTTGTGAAGATGGGGCTTATTCCAGTAGAAAGACCTGCTAAATGCTATGTACAGTAGGAGTGCTCACTGTCCTAACTTTCTTTATACTTGCTCTGTTTGTATGTTTCTTCTCCAGAATTTGCATGGTTTTTTCTCAGAGAGTACATCATTTCATATTTTGATGACTATGTTGTTTAAAAAGGGCCGTTTTGAAAGTAAGTACTGTGTTTGCTAAGGCAAATGCATTTTGAGGAGGATGCTTCTCACTGTACGTGTGTGTGTGTATAAATATATATATATTTTTAATGAATATTGCCGATTGGTTTATGGTTTTAGAAGGCCAAGTGCCGTGTAAATCAACATAGATGTGAATGAGCTGCACTGTAGTGTGTAATAAAAACAGAAGGCTGTATTTATTTCATACTTACAATGGTATTCTAATCATTCTCAGTTGCATGGAGTTGTGTTTCCTAAACCCTCTTCTATGAAGGCTGACTTTCTCTTTGGTTTGTAATTTCTCGTAGCTTTTTTTTTTCTATTCAAAGTTTGTTTTGTGTGGTTTTTGGAGCAGTAAGTTCTTCAGTAGTTTTTTTGGCAGTTCTGCATTTGTGTCAGAGGAGGGAAGAGTACCCTTTTCCTTTAATAACAAAACCAAACCGTAGTCTTCTCTTGGTTTTTCTTACTAGTCTGTCCACACAGAGTGGCTACTGCAATACTTAAGTCAAATGCTTCAAACCAGTTTGGCTCTCTGTGAGGATAAGGGGGAATCATCTGACCTGACTGAAAAGACTTTCCATGAGAAACCCTTAAATTGAGTATTGAGTAAGCTTTTCAAACAAATCTCTTTATTTGAAGTTTATTGAACACGCAACGCTTGGTCTCTTGATATTTGGCAAATATAAGTCCAGCAGTTGTCCTAAAAGTTGAGACTTATCCACTGTAAACATAACTGGATCAGAGCCTGAATGCAGTGTTGTAGTGTAGTGGAGCATGTGCGTTATTGAGGAGTTGTTAGGTAGTTTGCCTAAAATAGTGGAAGCTTTGATCATGTGTTTAAAAGGCTTGCTTTCTGGGCAGTTAGGAAGAATGAGAGTGGCTTTGTCAAGTATCTAGAATTTACCTTTAGATTTGTATGAAAATAATAGAACAGTAAGGACAGATGTTAATGTAAAATGAAAACCTTGCCGGGAAGAAATATTTACATCCAACTGACCCTAAATTAAACTTTTGAAATGTATTATTTTTTTAAAAAAATTACAGATTTCAGTTTACATTCTCATTTTGAGATAGACTTACTGAGCTCATACACATTGAATTTTTTTCTTTCAGTTACTAAATGTACAGTGTTAAATTTGTGAAGTGAATAACACTAATGTATTTTTCATAGATGCTTTGGAAGTTCTGGTAGAAATGAAAAAACAAGGTATACCTTTCAACAAAGAAACCTATTTACTTGCATTTGCAATATGCTACAAACTGGTAAGTATTTTCAATTTACATGATGAAAAAGTGTTTGAAATACCTTCTCTGTGTCTTCCTTTTTTTTATTTTAAAATTTCCATATGTTCCCAGTCACGATTCCTTATCTAGTGCAAATATTTTAGATTTATTTAAATCCTAAATTGCTTCCTAGTGCATGGTGTGGTGCACATACATAGCTTCCCATACAAACTAATGTCACAAATCAAATCCCTAAAAAATTACATGGACATTAAGGAAAAAATTTGATACAGCCTTTGATTAGCTGATAGTATTTTTTTTCTGGGATCTGTGCATCTCTTCAGACTATACCTTGTGCTTGAGCCTCAATATTGATTTGTGATCTGGCTTCCTTAAGAGATAAGGCAAATATATGATATGTTCTGTTTGTCAGACATCTCCTTTCCATTTTACCCACTCTCTTCACTTGGTAGAAAACTGGCTGGCTGGCTGAGCCTAGAGAGTTGTGGTGAACAGAGTCACCCTCATGGTTAACTGAGGGTTAACCACATGCCCCTCACTACAAGAAGTGTTGAGTTGCTGGAGCGTGTCTAGAGAAGGGCAATGAAGCTGATGAAGGGTCTGGTGAACAAGTCTTATGAGGAGCAGCTGAGGGAACTGGCATTGTTTAGCTGGAGGAGACTGAGGGGGTACCTTATCGCTCTCCACAGCTACCTGAGAGGGGGTTTTGATGAAGTGGGTGTTGGTCTCTTCTCCCAAGTAACTAGCGATAGAACGAAAGGAAATGGCCTCAAGTTGCACCAGGGCAGGTTTAGACTAGATATTAGGAAAAATGTCTTTACTGAGAGAGTGGTTAAGCATTGGAAGAGGCTGCCCAAGGAGGTGGTGGAGTCATCATCACTGGAAGTGTTCAAAACATGTGGACGGGGCACTTCAGGACATGATTTAGTGGACATGGTGGTGTTGGGTTGATGGTTGGGCTTGATGATCTTAAAGGTCTTTTCCAACCTTAATGATTCTGTGATTTCTCCCCTCCTCCTCCAAGTAACCTTGAACCATTTCTCTAATTGCACTCAAATTCGACAAGGATTAGAATTCTCAAAGGTAATCTGTTCCTACATGCCTGATGAAAATGGGCAGCTGAGTGGGGAAAATAAACCTGAATGAATGCCTTCAGTGAGAGACAGGCTGCCCCTTGAGCTTAACTGTATTTTTAGCTCAGAGAAAAAGAATATGACCATAGTAAGAAATTAGGCTAACAGGTTCTAGAGTGTTTCCTTAGAACTATTTCCCTTTTGTAGCAAAGTGAGGTCCCCAGACTTTTTTATTTTGATCTTCCTCTCCAGATTTGAATGAGTTCTGCAATTTGAGATATTAACATAGGCCCCTCCCAAGCCCAGTAGGAAACTCTTCTTCAATTTCCCTGTGTTTTTAGGAAGAAAGACACTGAGGAAAGGGTTATACCACTAGACTAAACTTCCTTAGGTTTCTCAGTTAACCATACAATGAAACTGAGTGCATATGTGATAAAAAGGAGTTGGCCTAAAATGGTAGCTCAGCAGTCATTTATGTGGTACTTCTGAAATTCTCAGTTCTAATGAATCAGGGCTGCCTTTAGGTCAGGGGAAGTAGAAACAGCCATGTCGCTTTGGTGTTTGGAGAGGCGAGCAGTAGGCAGAGCTGAGAAAGAGCTGTGGAAGTTGTCTGCTGCTAAAAACAGCTAGAGATTGGTGATTACAGGAAGTGTAGGGATGTTACCAGTTCTACGTAGAACACACCTTTTTCAGAAAGTTACGAATGTACAAAGATTCTGACAGTATGCTACAATCCAAGTTTATAATCTGGTGTTTGCTACTAGCATCCACTGAGGCAATATTTACCACTTCAGGGTTGTTCCTTGGCCTATACTCTGCCTGTTTAGGTAAAGGCTTTCACAGAAACCTACTGTGTTTCTCTGAGGTATCCTTTGCTCCCTCTGCTGTAGCTTATTCCCTAAAATCTTTACATGATTCTTTCCATGGCCTGCTGTCAGAAGGCTTGGATCCATGGCACGTAAAACAAGAACTGATTCCCGAGACATCTGTGTTCTAGTACTTCTGGCCTTACCTATGTTTTCAAAAGAGAATCTGGACCATCATTACTTGTTTAGCAAATTGATAAAAATAGAGGGGAAATGATTCTAAACTGTCACCCAGTTGTTTTAATAACCATAATTAATTTGTGTGGGTTTTTTTTTAATTAAGATAAAATACTATCAATAAAGGAATAAGATGTAGTAACCCTTTATGCACTAGTGAGGATTAGGTGGAGCTCTTTCAAAAACTTAATCTGTTGATTCAGCTGTTGGTGGTAACAGGAGAAATCATTAAGCTCAAAAGGTGTTTTTGCTTGTGATGCAACATACGAAACTTCAGAAAAAAATCTTGAAGGGGAATATTTTCAAGATGCACTACTTGAATACTAGAAATAATGGTGCTGGTATCATTAAGAGCAGTGCTGGATTTTTACCAGGTTAATTCTTGGTTTCTTTTGAATAACTATGACAGAGACCAGTACAGAAAAATGTACAAGGTTTAAATTTCAGATTGTTGCTGGTGGATAAACAAAAGAATTAATGTTTAATCTTTGTACAGAAGTGTTTTGGAGGTCAACTGTGATGTTTTAAATCATTGTAAGGCACTGCTATCCTCTAAGGTGACGAATGGTCCTTCTTTAAGTGCAGGAAAGGGCTATAGACCTTTTGATGACAACAAAATATTTATGTAATAATAATCAATCTTCTGGTGGTCAGAATGTTCCTAAATTTTCAAAGAACATGTTTTAAACCACAGGTTTTTCATGTGATTTAAAAGGTATTTTCACAAGCTGTGCAGACCATTCAGCAGTGGCATGGGAAAGCATCCCTTAAATACCCGAAGGATGACCCTATCCCTTAAATCATGGCCAGTATTTTGCAGGAATGACATTTTGAACAGTAGGAACAGAAATCAACACTAAATACTAGGAAGGAATATGAAAACTCTTATCCGTATTGGTGGTACCAGTTGTACAAAACCTTCCTGCTGCCACCTAAGTTTGGCAGGTATTACTTAAGTGTTACTTACCATTACTAAGTTTGGAGTCCAGTCAGCTCTATTCATAATTTTCGGTGTGAGGAGCATTATTTTTGAGATTTGGTCATTTGTCAGATAACACACAGGTAAACTTACTGCCTTTTACTATAGAAACCTATTGAAAATAATCACAGAAATAATGAAGGCTTTCTGTGTTGGAAAACAGGCAAATGTCTAAGCTGTCATATTAGAATATATACTTTGGAAACATTTTGCAAGATTTAATCTGTAAGAGAGGCTAAAAATTGCCAAATGTTCAAATTTACACATACAGAGATTTCTTTAGTGTAATAGTGCTGAGCAGTTCAATGCTTAGGAAGCATTGATTTTCATTAACTATCTAATGTAGCTTTTAGAATAAAGTAAGGAGAAAAAGTCAACTTTCTTCCTGATTTGGGAATGATTGGAAAGCGGAAAGGAAAGTGTCTTTGTTTTAGCATACTGACGGGCTGGTTTTATCTCTTGTAGAAGCCAAAACAGTTAGGGCAAGGTATAGTTGTTAAAATAATGGAAGTTATTTCTACCCTTTTCTGAACTCTGTAGTTTTGAATATTGTATTTTGATGTTGTGTTTCTCAAGAAGTGCTGCACAGAATCTGCTCGGTTGGGTTCAGATAGGAATTACCTTGGTGATCTTACAGTATATTGACTTTTGCATGCCCCTTGAATGTGACTGCAATTGCCTACAGTCCTTTCAGATCACAAGAAAAACAAGTGCAACTTAGGTTTGAAATTTCTATGCAGGACAACCTGGAGTCATGCAAAATTTCTGCGAAACTGCTTGAAGAAGCACAGATAAAAGGTGACACAGTACCACTACGAGCATTATGCTTTGCTATGGCAACTGCTCTGAAGCAGGTACAGTACCTTTTGTTTTGATTCGTGCCTTGATCTCTATAGTTTTATTGTGGTAAGATAGTCAGTGAAAGGAAGCTAACATAAAGAAAGCGTAACTGATCTATATAATAACTTCAAGTAGTAGAACTTTTAGTCCTCTGAAAGGGTAGGATTATAGACAACTCCCACACAAAGTGAATGTGGAAATTCTGTAATCTAAACATGTCTTGAGTCTAATGCACAGGTATTTTGTGCTAGCGACAATGCCATATAGAATATTTTTAGAAAATGAAAGAGGGTTGGGCCAGCAGGCTAAATGTAACCCTGGTCCCAGTCCTGCAGATACTACTATTTAGTGATGTTTTCCTTTAAATAGGATTAAAATGGTTATTTAAAATATTTGCACATCATCTCTTTAAAACTTTTATCTTGGGAGGCAAATTCAAAGGCTATGATGTGTATTGCCCTACTGCCTGGGAGATGGCCTGTTGTTCTCCACAATACGTTTCCTCAGGTGGAGTTTTTCATATACCTCATGTGCCTAAGCACTGATATGAAGAGGCTCAGAGGCAGCACAGGGTGAAAGATTGAGCAGAAGGATAACAGTTAGGACATTCTAAAGTCTAATATTTCCTCTGCCACTAATTTGTATATACAGCTTGAGGAAATTCTGAACCTTCTCTGTTTCACACCTAAGCAGAGGTCAGAGGCACTGTAAGAGCTAGCAGTTTGAATGGATTTGAATCCATGTTGTTCATGGATTTGAATGAATGAAGTAGAATTGTTAAAATTTTCTAATGCACTCTGTGATCTTGCACTGTCTTTGTGAACAGAGACACTGAACAATACCATCATTGAAATTAATTTATTCATGTGTATGATGGCATGACAGTGCTCCTCATTGGCTTTGAGGTTAAAAAACAAAGTCTCTGTCTCTGAAACAACATGAAATAACCTTGATGCCTTTATGTAAAAACAGTTAAAATTCTTGTTTTGCGAAGAGAATAATGCTTCACATTACACTTCACTATTTCTTAAGCTGTATGATCTTTGAGAGTACATTTTGCTGTAAGATGTTTCTTGATCCCAAGTAACAGTGGTTGGTTTAGTAAAGGCCAGTGTAACATTTACTGACTATACAAATCAGTTGACTGCATAGATACAGGACTGTAAACGTGTATGTCCAAAAGGTTAAAAGTGCTGGGCAGGATAAATACCCACATTAACGTATGCTGCACTTCATTTAAGTACTCTGACATGTGCCAAACTGAGCATGTGTGTAGATCTTTTCTCTTTCAGGTGCTCTCATGCTCAACATTGGTTATATGCCTCCTTTCCCTGCTGATCTGAGGCAGGGACTGTCTGATGTGCTGGAGGGACAGATGACATGGGAACTCCAGCATGTGGTGTTCCTTTCACAGGCTGGATGCTGTTTGGGTCTTGGTGAAGGGGTTTTAGATGCTGGTTTCTGATTCACTGAAAAGTTGTGGAAGACTCTTGTTTTTCTTGAACTTATATTGTGAAAGTGTGTCACAAATGTTTAACCATATTTTTTTTATTATTTATAATTCCTTCCTAGAATGATGTAGCGCAAGCCAAATTTTATTGTTCCCAGATAATGAAAACAGAGAACAAACTATACAATAATCTTAAAGTAAGTATGCTTGCATTGTATTAGAATCTTGCAGAGAAGTATGTCATAGTGGACAGAAAACTCCCATGTGCAAAGTAACGTAAGACCAGCTTCCTACTAGCACAGGTGTGTATCAGTACTGTTGCTGGGCTTGTTTCTGAGCCAACAGATAATTTCTGTCGGTTAGGTGAGATACATTCTGAGTTGTTGACACCTTTCCCCCATTTTTAAAATTGCTTCCTACCATAGATGGGAATGGAAAGTAGACCTACCCTACATCTGTGAGTGTAGACCTGTGAACGATTTTTAATTATGACATTGTGACTTTTTGCTTTCTTGCTACAAGAGATTTAAAAAACCACAGCTCCAAGTAAATGCCTTCCTTAGCTGCGCTTTGCCCACTTCAGGCCAGCTTCAGCCCTATGAACCTTAACCCCATATGTACATACAACAATTTTTTTCTTTAATTGTGTGGTCTACAACTTGAGAGAAAGTCTACTGCATGTGCCCTGTAAAGTGACCTCTCTAAGCTATGGAAGAAAATACTTTATTCAAGAACAGCTAATGCAGCTCCATCAGAGGAACTCTGCTTCCAGGCTCACCCTTTCCAGGTCCCAGCTGCAAAAAAACCCCAAATCTCTATGCAAATTGATCATTCCTGC